GGCAAACAAGTTGAAATGTCTTCTGAGCGAAGTCTGGTATCAAATCATGAAATCGTAACTATTGCCTTCACGTTTGCAACGGCTTCAGTTTATCACTTATCAGAAATAATTTTAGGCAAATTCCAAGAAGTCCAAGCTTAAAATACTGGATCGAAAGTGCAGTGATGCGGGCGATGGGCAACAAGTTGAAATTTCTTTTGGCGAAAGCCCGGTACCAAAGCAAGAGATCGTAAATATTGCGATGAATGGCTTCAAAATTCCTGTTTTTCACCTGCCACAAATAATTTTAGATACGCTGCAAGACATCCAAGTGTATTAAACCCGAAGGAAAGAGCACTGATCCCCTACATGGCGAGAAAGTGGAAATCTCTGCTGTGAAAAGTCCGGTACCAAAGCATTTAATCGTAAATATTGCGTTCATCATTAAAATGACTTTGGTTCACCACCGATCACTAATAATCTAAGGTAAACACGAAGAACTGCAAGCGTATGAAACAGCAGCGGCACAACAATGATGACGGCGATGGCAGCAAGGAAGTTGAAATTTCTTTAGAAGAAAGTGTGCTGCCTAACCATGAGATCGTAATTACTGTGCTCATGTTTATAATGACTGGGTTGTTTCACCGATGGGAAATAATTTTAGGTAAACTGCGAGAACTCCAATCGTGTAAAACCGGAAGTGAAGAGAAGTGACGCCGTCGATGGCGTGCAAGTGGAAATTTCTTCTGAGCAAACTCTAGCACGAAAGCATCAGACAGTAAATGTTCCCTTCATGCTTGGAATTACTGCGGTTTATCACTATCACAAATACTTGTAGGTAAACTCCAAGAACTCCAACGGTATAAAAATGGAGCCAAAGACCAGTGATACCGCCGATGGGAAGCAGTTTCAAAGTTCTTCTGAGGAGAGTCTGGCACCAAAGGATGAGATCGTAAATATTTCATTCATGTTTAGAGTGACTTCGGCTTGTCATTTACCACAAATAATTTTAGGGAAACTCTAAGAACACCAAGCGTATAAAATCGGAAGTGAAGAGAAGTGACGTCGTCGATGGCTTGCAAATGGAAATTTCTTCTGTGCAAACTCTGGCACAAAAGCATCAGATGGTAAATGTTCCGTTCATGATTAAAATTACTGCGGTTTATCACTATCACAAATATTTGCAGGTAAACTCCAAGAACTCCAAGGGTATAAAAGTGGAGCCAAAGACCAGTGATGCCGCCGATGGGAAGCAATTTCAAAGTTCTTCCATGAAACGTGTTGCGCCAAAGCATGAGATCGTACATATTGAATTCATGTTTAGAATGACCTGGGTTTATCACCTATCGCAAATAATTTAGGTAAACTGCAAGAACTCCCAGCGTATAAACGTGAAGGGAAAGGGCAATGATGCCGTCGATGGCAAGGAAGACAAAATTTCTTTGCAAGAAAGTGTGTTATCAAAGCAAGAAATTGTAAATATCATGTTCATGTTAGGCATGACTTCGGTCTATCACCTATCACAAATAATTGTAGGTTATCTCCAAGAACGCGAAATGCATAAAATCGGACCAAAAGACCGGCGATGCCGTCGATGGCAAGCAAGTTGAAACTTCTGTGAAACATGAGGTACGAAAGGATGAGATCATAAATATTGTGTTCATGATTATAATGAGTTCGGTCTATCACCTGTCACCGATAATTTTAGGGAAACTCTAAGTTGTCCAAGCGCACAAAACCGGCGCGAAAGACCAGTGATGTCGTCGATGGCAAGAACATCGAAATTTCTTCTGTGAAACATCCGGCACCAACGCATGAGATGGTAAATATTGCATTGATGTTTAGAATGACTTCAGTTTATCACCTATCACACATAATTTAAGGGAAACTGCAACAACTCCGAGCGTACAAAACCGAATGGAAAGAGTAGTGATGCCATCGATGGCGAGCAAGCTGAAAATTTATCTGAGGAAGGTCTTGTACCAAAGCATGCGATCGTAAGCATTGCATTCATATTTGGAATGACTTCGACTCTTGAGCTATGACAAATAATTTCGGTAAAGTGCAACAACTCCAAACAGATGAAACCAAAGGGAAAGATCAGTGAAAGCGTCGATGACGAGCAAGCTCAGATTTCTTCTGAGAAAAGTCTTGTACCAAAGCATGCGATCGTAAATATTGCATTCATGTTTGGAGTGACTTGGGCTTATCACCTATCACATAATTTAAGGGAAACTGCAACAACTACGAGCGTATAAAACCGAACGGAAAGAGCAGTGATGTCATCGATGGCGAGGAACGGGAGATTTCTTCTGACGAAGGTCTTGTACCAAAGGATGCGACCGTAAGCATTGCAGTCATGTTTGGAATGATTTCCTTTCATCAGCAATGACGAATGGTTTTAGGTAAACTGCAACATTTCCAAGGAGATGAAACCGAAGGGAAAGAGCAGTGATGCCGTCGATGGCGTGAAGGCTCAAATTTTGTCTGAGGAAAGCCTTTTACCAAAGCATGCGATCGTAAATGTTGCATTCATGTTTAGCGGGTTTATCACCTATCTCAAATAATTTTAGGTAAACTACAAGAACTCCAAGCGTAGAAAGCTGAAGGGAAAGAACAGTGATACCGTCAGTGGAGATCAAGCTGAAATTGCTTCTGAGGAAAATTTTGTACCAAAGCATGCGACCGTAAATATTGCATTCATGTTTAGAATGATTTCGGTTTATCGCCTATCGAAAATAACTTTAGGTAAACTGCAAGAATTCCAAGCATAGAAAGCCTAAGGGAAAGAACAGTGATGCCGTTGGTGGCGAGGAAGCTGTAATTTCTTCTGAAGAAAGTCTTATACCAAAGCATGCGATCGTAAATATTGCAGTCATATTGAGAATGACTTCATTTTTTCGCCTGTCACATATAATTTTAGGGAAACTGTATGAACTCCAAGCGTATAAAACCAGAAGTAAAGACTAGTGATGCCGTCGATAGCGAGCGAGTTGAAATTTGCTCTGAGGAAAGTCTGTTACCAACGGATGAGATCGTAAATATTGCGTTCATGTTTAGAATGACTCTGGTTTCTCGCCTACACATAATTTTAGAGCTCGATATGTATGGAACGGGAGCGAAAGACCAGTGTTGCCGTCGATGGCGAGCGAATTGAAATTACTTCTGAGGAAAGTCTGTTACCAATGCATGAGATCGTAAATTTTGCGCTGATGTTTGGAATGACGTCGGTTTATGAGCTATTATGAACGATTTTAGGTAAACTACAAGAACTCGAAGCGTACAAACGTGGAGCGAAGGACCAGTGAGGAGGTCGATAGCAAGCAAGGTGAAATTTCTTCTGAGGAAAGTGTGGTACCAAAGCATGACATCGTAAATATTGCGTTCATGTTTGGAATGATATCGGTTTGTCACAAATAATTTTAGGGAAATTCTAAGAACTCCAAGTGCATAATACTGGCGGGAAAGAGCACTGATGTCGTCGATAGCGAGCGAGTTGAAATTTGCTCTGAGGAAAGTCTGTTACCAATGCATGATATCGTAAATATTGCGTTCATGTTTAGAATGACTTTGGTTTATCACCTATAACAAATAATTTTAGGTGATCTCCAAGAACTCGGTGTGTATAGAACGGGAGGGAAAGACCAGTGTTGCCGTCGATGGCGAGCGAGTTGAATTTTCTTCTGAGGAAAGTCTGGTGCCGGAGGATGCGATCGTAAATATTGTGTTCATGCTTAAAATAATTTCGGTTCATGACATATGACAAATAATTTTAGGCAAAGTGTAAGAACTCGAAGCAGATGAAACCGAAGGAAAAGAGGAGTGATGCCGTCGATGGCGAACAGGTTGAAATTTCTTCTGAGGAAAGTCTTGTACCAAAGCGTACGATCGTAAATATTGCATTCATATTTAAAATGACTTCGGTTTGTTATCTATCACACATAATTTAAGGTTAACTGCAAGAGCTCAAAGCGTATAACGCCAAAGAGAACGAGTAATAATGCCGTCGATGGGGAGGGAGTTGAAATTTCTTCTATGGAAACTCCAGTACGAAAGCGTGAGATCGTGGATATTGCGTTCATGTTTAGAATGACTTCAGTGTATGATGTATGATAAATAAGTTTAGGTAAACTCCAAGAACTGCAAACGTAGGATGCCGGAGCGAAGGGATAGTGATGTTGGTGATGGGACGCAAGTCGAAATTTCTTCTACGAAAAATGTGGTACCAAAGCATGAGATCGTAAATACTGCGTTCATGTTTAAAACGACTTCGGTTTATCACCTGCCAGAAATAACTTTAGGTAAACCCCAAGCATTCGGTACTTTTGGGACCGCGAGTACAGATGATCTGGTTCGAAGGGCAGAATATCGAAACGCCGTTTTATTCCTCTTATCCTGGAAGTTATAGAACCTGTGAAACTTTATTCATTTGTGAGCAGTGCTTCTTTTATGTGAAGACAGAGGAGGAGTTCGCGCAGCATAAGGTGCCTGCTTTATATATATATTTATTTTGTGGAACGATGGCACTTTTTGGTGTTAAGCTTTTTTGGCTAAATGTTATACGAGCATGTGGTATATATAGGCGTTGTTTTTGATGCTAAGAGAAATTTTCAACAGAAATAAGCAGTGCTGAGTGTTTCCTTACTTACGCAAATTTTAAAGTTGACCGGCAACTTCTGCTTCAGTTAAAACTTTGTTCAGAGGTTTGGTGAATTTGCTGAGTCTCAGCAGCATAGATTGACGTATGCCTAGACAATTCTGTAAAAAGGTGTCAACGACTTCAGAAACAATCGTTTAAAATTTTGGCATTAGTTTCACATGAAATTAAGTCATTCGTGATACTTTGTTTGGTAGAAGCGCTGAATCGCCGCTAGTCCATTGTTTCAAATGAATATCGATCAGCTTGCTTGTATGGATTGCTTCGATTTCAGGTGAATCTGAGTCACTTGTCTAAACATTTGGCGAAAACTTGACAAACTGAGAAAGGTAGCACAATGACCAGGGATAACTGAGCGCTTCGTATTAATGTTCACGCGACTATTGTGGCGAATATTCAAATGTACTTCGGGGTTATGATTTACATTACGCATTTCTAGTCGTTGCAATTTGTTGGGTTTGCACCTTGTGCTGATTATTAAACTGGATAGTCAGCTACAAGGTGGGTGAAGAAGAACTGTAGCCCTAACAGGGCCTCGCGTTAAACAGTGTGACCGTAACTCTCGCCCATTCCGATACGCACTACACCACCATGCTCCCCCCCCCCACTGTTCTCAAGGCAGCATGTTTCTCACAGCCACTGGATAAGTTGCGATGAAACAGCCTTATTGCGGTGAATTCCATACTCAAGGGAATGGGTGGCGGCAGGTCGTGATAAATTGTTGCCTTTTCGGGATTCGGATTCAGCACTTCCGGAGGGTGAGGTCGACCTCTAATCTCCGTGCCACTGACTTCCCCATTTTCGATGAAATTGGTCGCTGATTGGCAGTTGCTGTTGTTGCGCTGTCCCTTTCAAGATATGTTTCTAAAACTTTGTGATCGCGGCCCTAAGTGCAATCTTTCCTCGACGTGATATCCCATCGAGCCGGTAAATATAGCTTTAACTGTCTATAACTTTGGGGAATATTTGGTGCTTATTAGGTTGACTTAATTTAAATAAATAAGCCAGAGTCAATTTCAAAAAAGTTTCAGTCAGACTAGCCATAACGTAAACTTTTCCGAAAAAGTATTTTCCCAAGACCTTTCCGCGATCCTGTGGACCATTTCTGCTACCTCATTTCAGTGAGACCCAAAGTTTGGGAACTATTGCCGTACCGACTGTTTAGAGGCCTTCATTTTCTTGTTTGCCACTTATCTACTTATTACGTATTTTTCATTGTACGGTTAACGGCAAAATTAGGTTAAAATAAAAGTTTATGTTGACCAACCCTAGATATATCGTAGTGTTGTGAAATGTTGTTGACCAATTATGTAATGATTAAAAATGAATAAACTGAACGCCTGTTGCCTGCTGACAGTTATCTATGAACCACTGTGCATGGCCAAGCTTTGTATGTCTCGTTAATACGCATGAACCTTTGAAAACGTTTATATCCGTGAATCGTCAGGTGATATTCCACATAAAAAGCTTTCAATCGGTAATTATATATCGCTAAAGTAAAGACTGATTAGGAAGTGGCTTCTGAAGGTAGCTATTTTTAATAATGCCTTCGTTTGTAACTTTATTTTTTTCAGGCAGAGTGTTTAGCAGTTCATCCTCCCGGCAGAGCAATCTACCCTGCACCATCTTTTACCATATGGGAAGTGGACGGCAAAGAAACTGTAAATTTGCTTTTGTCTTGTACGCTCTTATTCTGACCGCTGTTTCAGGCCTACTGTGAGAATCTTTGCCTGTTTGCAACGTTTTTTATTGAAGATAAGGTTGCGGGAAGCAATGTTCTTCGCTATTACTTCTACATTCTTACGATAAATGAAGCAGACACGCATAAAATGATTGGTTATTTTTCGAAGGTAGGTAGAGTTGAAAATCTTTGCGAATTCATACTGTGTTAATAGACACTTGAACACAGTAAGAATGAATTTCAATTGATTGATCGAACAGGATTTATTTCGTTTTTGGCAAGCACCTGCTTTTATGGTTTCTATCGATTTTTGAAAGACTCTTAAGGCTACTAATTAGCACAAAGTAGGTAGGTTTAAGTGAACGCTGGAGCAGTTACGAAACTTCCATGACCGACTACGCGGTGACTGCTTAAATAAACTAGCGGAATGCCAAGTCGTCACGTGACACTGTCATATGACTTCTTGTTCAGATATGAAGTCGACGAGCGTATCAGAATCGAGCGTGTTCTGCTTTGCCTAGTTTCATTGGCATGCCGTATAACTTACCACCGAGCGGCTCTGACGCTTTTGGATGCACTCAGCTATCAGGGGCGAAGACGACGCGTTGGCTTGTAATTTATCACGTATCGAAAGCAATTATTGGTAGAAATGCTGTCGATCAAGGGTTGTTCCATGTCGAACGGCATATAGATAATAACTGCGGCAAGTTCTTTGCCATTATGAGTTGATTAAAAATTTTGAATGCATAAAAGAATATTTCAGCCATCACTTGCTAGAAATGACGATTTTCAAATGCTTGGGCTTCTACTGATGCTGAATTTCAGGAAAAAAATAAGCGCACCCGAAACAACTTGTCGTGCATAATGGTGATGCCGCAATATCGGTCGAAGGGATACGGGAAACTGCTGATTGAATTCAGTAAGTTTTTCAGCTTATTGTACACCGTATGCAAAAATAGCTTCAAGTACACGTGTCTGCAATGGACCTTATAATCAAAGTAGACTTATGAACAATAGCTGCGTCTGCTTTTAACGATACGTAAATTATGAACGATATATAAATAATGTTTGACCGCTTTAACATCGTAAAAAATGTTGTCCAGGCGAGGTGAAAGACTCCGTGACTAATGAACCCGAACAGATTGAAGTGGCTGTCATAATGCGAATTAGTCACGACGAAAGCACACTTTTTTGACGACATGACGAAACTTCTTTTCATCAGATCACTAACCCTCTGAACGGAGAATTACTACTCACAGGCGTATGCACGCTGAAGTTCATCAGCAGGGAGAGCTGCCTAAAAATATTAATGACTAGTAAAATCGTTTTTATATGATGCCGTAACCGGTAACTGCGGCAACTAATGCAATCTACCAGCAGAAGTATTGAAAAGCTGTGGATACGGCGAAAATCATAAACCAGACACACTCCGCTTATGAATGGTTGAAGTTGGTATGAACGAAGAATAACTGCAAGTTGGATCAGTCTGCAGCGTAAACTTCCGATGCAGTTTTTTACAGAGTAGAAAGGGACGCTGGATTTGAAAGTATGAGACAGCCCATCATATTCCTTATATTCCCAACGGTTTTGTTGTCCTGCTTGAGCAATGAAAGTTTTTTCAGTTTTTTCAAATTCGTGTTGTAATTTTGAACAGTGAAGGCCTAGGTTTAACAGTGTCTCGCTGTTGCCGTTAACATCATTTTTTCATGTCTAAAGCTAAGACATTTAAGACAGTTAAGACAAGCAGCGTATCGGTTGTTCAGGCTTTGTGCTAGGTCAATAAAGTCGTAAAGAAATATATACTGAGATAGCGTTTGTGATGATCTTAAGCATGATAAAATTATATTGAAACTGAGCATGAGCAACTTATGATGTTTGTCAGACGTTGTCGCTGTCCCTTGACTACTCATAAACGTTTCTTGAATTTCTTACCTTTTTTTCTGATAAATCGTTGTCGTTTGTGTTTCATTTTCGTTAAGCACAATAAAAAATTTCATATGGATTGATTAAAAGAACCGTTCCTTAAGTTATAATCGAAAACGTGACAAAATTCATTCATCATGGCGTCTAGCGAAAGAGATTAAGAAACTCATTGATATTACTTTCGAGCTAAGTGAAATTTTGCGTAAAATTGAATCCGTCTTCGGGGACTGCACTGTACAGGCTGTTTTCCGGTTATTTAAAAAATCTTTATACCATCTTCATCTTCCATCGCCGCTTCTCTTTTCGGGTCGCGGAGGCAGACGCGCCAGACAGTGCTTCCAACGTTCCCGATCCTGTGCCAGAGTCTGAGCTTCAGCAAAAGACAAATACAGTCTGGAACAGACTCCTTCCATATGTTTGCACCAGGTTAATTTTGGCCGTCCCCTGGGCCTTTTGCCGCTCGGATTTGCAAGGAACAGTTGCATAACCTTCCTTTCTGGAGGCATTCGCAACACATGCCCAAGCCATCGCAGCTGTGGCTTCTCAATCTGGACAAGCAAAGGCTGTAATCCAAGGCACTTCCGGATGTCACTATTCCGGACCATGTCGAGACGCGTAAGGCCA